GGTCTCGCCAATAGCTCCTGTCAACTAGCATGCCCCTGGACTAGGAAAGGGGTCCGGCGCATTCTTGCGAGCCGCATCGTGGTTGTACGCGCGCAAAAGTACGTGACGTTGCCGGCGACCATCATGGTCCAACGTGACAACTACCTCGATCACCGTCTCTATGCTCAATATTGTCATCGTTTCGCATGACACATTGTATGTAGTCGACCCCTTCGACGACTGTTCCCAGCACCCGGCCGCCCAGCGCAGTACGTCTTGCTGACTTATAAAAAAAAGGATCGTGATGGCATCAACAGACAACGACGACGACGACGAGGCTCGACCAAACGAGATGGTATGTCCTCGTACATTGTAGTAGAACGGACCTCAACGCGAATGAAAGACGCCAACGATTCCCCTTGCCTACGTCGTGGAGCTGCTCGACATCCTGGGCGACGACGTGGTGCGCGTGCGCGACTTGTTTGAGGCGCACGCCAGACACCAGCGCGTGAGCCTCGAAGGCATGACAGACATCCTTGCATCCGATGGGTACGAACCACAATGGAGCTTTCTGTGTGCAATGTTGCGACCACTAGCGCCGGCGTGGCGCTGGACCTCGTGCTGCGACTGGTCTCGGACATGGTTCAGAGCCGCACGGTGGCGCTCCAATCGGTGCCATTCGATTTGAAGGCGCACGTACTTGGCTACACGGATGTGCTCTCGGTTTACGTCGTCTTCCACCGGCAGTACTACAATCGATGACGCGCCATGCGTAGCCTTGGGTTGCAATTTAACACCTTTGTCGTGTTGACCGCGGCACGCCAGAGCAGCCCCATCACCACCAGATCCATTGCGTGTTATCCTACTGCAGGCACAAGCCATTCGGCCGCACGGGCAGCGCATGGCTTTACAGCCATAAAGATATCTTGGGTCATTGCGCATCGGCTATCAGCTGTTTCCCAGGCTACTTTTGTCGTCTCGACGATCTTCGTGCTCGCCGCCAAGGGAATAAACGGTCCGGGATTCCATTCTTCGACATAGCTGCGACGTTGCTAGTAGTATTCGCGCCTCATTTTCACTCAAATGTGCACTTTAATTCGCAAATTTCGACTTAAAATGTACATGGATATTGTCACATTGCACTTTGCGATCCCAGCACGAGGGTGAAACGCATGCAACGAAACGGTCTTGTCCGGATATTGGGGGGATAAGAAATCCGGTTTTTAGCCCAATGCGTGTCAAGTGCAGTTCTGATTGTGCCTTCGACGATGCGCACGTTAACGTTGGCCCGTCGCCTGCGCCCACTCGTCCGGAGCTTCCACGCGTCGACGGCGACGGCCGATGCGGTCCTCATGGAGGACGAGTACGGTCTCATGGAGGCGAGCAAGCAAGTCTTCCACGTCCCATCATTCACGCTCGAGAGCGGCGTGACGCTGCAGGATGTGACCGTCAACTACAAGACGTTTGGCGAGCTCAACGCTGCGCGGGACAACGTGCTCGTCGTGTGCCATGCGCTCACGGGCAACGCGGCGCTCGACACTTGGTGGGGCAGCCTCCTTGGCGACGGCAAGCCCTTTGACACGGCCAAGTACCACGTTGTGTGCGCGAACTTTCTCGGCTCGTGCTACGGCACAACTGGACCGACGTCCGTCAACCCGTCCACCCAGCGCCCGTACGGATCATCATTTCCGCTCACGACGATCCGCGACAGCGTCGGACTGCACTTGCGCCTCGTCCGCGACGAGATTGGCGCCAAGAAGGTCCTGCGCGGCGAGGACGATGTATATGCTCACGCTTGTCTGTCTTAGATTGCCGCTGTCATTGGCGGGTCCCTTGGTGGTATGCAAGCCCTCGAGTGGGGCTTCCTCGGGAAGGGACTTGTCCAGCGCCTCGGCGTCATCGCGTGCGGCTCCCGCCATACCGCGTGGCAGATTGGCATGAGCGAAGTCCAGCGCCAAGCCATCTACCGGGTACGGCCCTCTAGTACTATATACGAAGAAGCTCAGTCCAGGGGTGTAGGATCCGCTGTACTGCGGTGGCCACTACGACCCATCGCGCCCGCCAAACGATGGCCTCGCCATCGCTCGCCAAATGGCCATGCTCACGTACCGCACGCACCGCGTGTACGCCGAACGCTACGGTCGCGAGACGCACCCCGACGGCCGCTTCGCCGTGCAGTCGTACCTCGACTACCAAGGCGACAAGTTTCTCACGCGCTTTGACGCCAACGCGTACGTGGCGGTCACGAAATCGATGGACACGCACGACGTCGGGCGCGGGCGTGGCGGCGTCGACGCCGCCTTGGCGACGCTGCGCGACCTGCCCGTTTCGATCGTCGGCATCGACTCGGACCTGCTATACCCGATCTCG